GACACGTCATTCATATTTTCCAAAATACATCTCAAACACTTTCGAGAGACAGAATATTATCATTTACAGAAGTTGATATTTCTATTGAAAAGTATAAAAGTATAATATAAACACATTTGAAATAATTTACAAAACTAAAAATTACGACTATTAAAAGCATGAAACATAATTTAAATCGACAATATTTCATAAAATAATGTTTTATCACTCTGCCTCATTTTTCCTGAAAAGAAATATATATTATTTGAAAGACATTTTTACACGTGTAAGATAGTCCGCATGAAATCGCGAAGGCAAAGGAAGAACAATAGAGGTAAAAGCGGCGAAGGAAAGAAATGACGTGGCGAGAGAAATGCGATCGAAACTTCGTTCAAAACTTTATCTTTGAGAATAGAATAGAGGAATTGAAACGTCGGATGTATGTATGGTAGCTCGGAACGAAAAACACTCGGCATTCCTTTCAAGCAAGATCAAACTCAGATCCGATCAGATCTCCACACGAAAGGCTGAAATTCTATTCGAAGGAACAATAATCCGTGCCTAGCTTTTGCGCTTCTACAACAGAAGGAACAAAAAGACGGAACCGTGGCCTCGACTCGCCTCACAGTCTATACGAAGGCATTTTATTATTGGTATTACGATCTTTATGATTGTAAACATCGTAAATGCGCTCAAAACGTCATCTCAGGCGTAGATGCGTTTGTCTTTGTAATATCTGCTTGTTAGAAACATGGCCCTTGAACGAATAGCCCGCCGAAGTGGGTCACAGCGAAGTAAAAAAGTGTTTCTTTGTTCATTAATTTCACTACCATCTTGTTCTATTCCTCTAAGCAAAACCTTCTAGATTTCCACGTCGCTTGTGCAACTACGACGACTCATAAATGTATTATTCTCTTCATGAGTCGCATTAATGCGCAGTCAGGAGGAAAATTCTAACTAGGATTTTACTCAAAATTACGAAGAGATTCACTTTAGCGTTTTAATATTTTTTTCCTCTTGGAAAAAAAATCGGATAAAAATTCATCTGACATTTGATATATTGTTATTAAGACCATTAGAGAATTTATGCGATGGCTCGCATAACCATGGATTTAAATTCCCATCATTATCGTCATCATTATCCATCCTTCTCGCGTTTCAACCGCTTACCATTGAAAACACGCACGTATACTAAACCATTCCGTAAATAAAATTACCGTAAAATTTATGTTGACGTTATATAATGTTACACGACACATTAATAAGACGAAATAAGATGTTACACGATTTTATCTTCCGAGACTTCTCAAGAGAACGTTGCGGCCGAATACTGTTTCCCGAAAGTGTAAAAACGGAACCGTTCATAATGGCATTTAAAGAGCCACCGTAATTTCACGAGAACGAGGACACGATCCTAGTGTACGACCATGAATTGACCTACATCGTCTCGCCAAATAACCTGTCTATTGGATATTAGAAAATGGATTTCGCGAACTGCTTTCGTCGTTTTATTGTCTGAACGACGAATCGACATTCCTCCGCACGAACTTCCGTTCGTCGAATTGCAGGAAGACACGCTCCACCAGCAGTTTCCATCTTCTTCCTCCTAGCACCAATCTTTGCTCGCTTTCGGTAATACGAATTTTACGATTTGATATCTCTCTCTCTCTCTCTCTCTCTCTCATATATATATATATATGTACTAGTACGCTCGCCTTCGGCGGTTCTTAGAGCTCCATTCACCCGCGATAGTACATCAGTCGCGCAAACATGATTTCACTATCGCGACCATAACGTTATGATATGGTTAGGTCTCTTATTGCAACTCTCTTTCGCGTCTTTCTCGTTTGAGACATTTTTGCCCGCGCACGTTCTCCGCTCGTTTCATCTCGGAGAAAAAAGCTGACGCTGCGTGTGCCTGATCTATTACTCCCCACGATGCAGCCTGCTCTTATCATCCGGAGACTTTATGATGAAAAACGTCGTCTAAGATTCCGACACCGTAGACGCTCCGCAACTCTCAGGGTATAATTCTGCTTTGATAAAAATAACAATATATCTCGACATTTTAAAGTAATACGGATTGTATTGTTGGTTTCATATCCGTAACAAGCTTATTTTTCATATGTACAATAACATTTTAAAAAACGAAAGTATTTCTAAATAAAATGTTTTAGATTGTATTTTAATTTATCTTTTTGATCGAATTGATTTAATTCACAATCAAGAATACTAATCGTTTTAATTATATAGGCTGTGACCAAACTCTTTATTTATTGGACCAGAATTATAATTATTTATAATTATAATTTATTATTAAATATGGACTTGTTTTAGGTACATGGCCATCGTGAATCCTTTGAAACCACGTATGGGAAAAAAGGCGACGCTGTGCGTTGCAATCATAATTTGGATCATCGGGGCAATTTTATCTTTACCGATGTTACTTTTCTACACCACGTACACTCAGAACTTCATGAATGGCGAAGTCCGCGTCGTCTGCTACAGCGATTGGCCGAACACAGACGATAATGGACTCAGCTACGATGAATATTTGTAAGCCGAACGTTTTAATAATGAATACATATTTGTAAAATTTATTCCATAATTCTTTCTATATATTTGCATTCGTCTGATCTTTCACGAAAATTTATTTCTCTAATCTAATCGATGTTTTTTTCTATTATCATTATTATTATTATTATTATTGTGCAGATGTAAGTAAGCTTCTTCATTTCAATTTTGATCAAATACTAAACAGTAACATGTTTAAGATCGTATGAATACCTTGCAAAGATCCACAATGCGTTCGCGTATACATATAAGTTACTGTAGTTAAACACAATTACCATTCGCGTTTTTTTATAACGTACAGTTAAGCGAGTCACGAAAGATAAAAGCGTCACTTTCCGAAGACCCATAAAAGTGTCGTTACCTCATATACACATACTCGTATATATCCGCAATACTATCACGCAATACTATTACACCGTTTATAATTTATGATCGTTAAACGATTACGCCTGCCGGTCATGACCAATTGCAATCGGTTTGTCTCTCACGTACGTGAACGTGTGTCTTGCAGTGTGTGCCATGCATATTGCGCTGTCTTAATGAGTCTCTCATTTTACTATGAAGTATTTCCAGGTACTGTGATAAGAGAGAAGCGATAAATCGAGTTAATAATACCTTCAATTCGGTGTATCGTAAATGTATCGCGTGTCTTCGAAATACTTACTCCAATCACGCGCGATTAAATCTTTCAAGCTTTGATCGGATTGTAATTACAGATGAAAATCTGAATTGTGTTCCACATTTGCGTCCCGCATCGTACGATCGTCCATTAAGATAAGTCTGCGAAAACGTACTCGCCGAGATAACGTACTCGCTCCGAAGCGTGTGCTGTTTCCTAATTGAAAGATTCAGACAGTATACCCAGAGCTCGGTGCTATCGTGCATGGCACGACATGTAAAATCACTAAAATCACGCATAGGCGACGCCCGTAGTACGATAGCCAGGAAAATTCGAATCCTGATATAAATGCCGTTTCGAACAGTTCGTCCCAAAATAACTTGCGCTTAATCCAAGTTCACGCGATTCTATCCATCGTTCTATAATCTCTAGCCTAAGAATCTCTTCTATTCTGCGATTAGAAGATTCACACGACACGAAACTTTCCCATGTTTCGCCCCTCGCCTCTTCACTTATTCAAAGCGCGTAACAAGAGTTTCAAAGCACATTTCTTCATCAATAGCTCGATATAAAAGCATCTATTAAATTAATTTTTCGAAACTTTATCAATAAACATATATTATAAGCTCATAATTAGTCGTACGCTTGGTATAATAACAAAGCAGTATACATAGACAAACGATAATATCGTTTAAAGAAACGAGAAAGAAAATTTATGTTACTACGTGAAAAATTCATTATAAACCACACCTTACAAAGGTGTGGTTTATAATGCAATTATATATGATAATGTTCTATAATTATCATACATTGCTTCGAGCGTGTTAAATTAATGAAGATTAATTGCGGTCGTAAATTCTGAAATTATCAGGACTGTAATAATAAAAATAAATAAATAAACAAATATTGCATACGTAAATAGGAAATATACAATATTTATCCATTTTTACATTTATTCTTTACATATCAAGTTATTGGAAAAAAGAAAAGTTAATCACAAAAAAAGTAAAAAATTTAAAAATAGAGAAAAAATTAAAAATAAGAATTTATTTCGAATTATATCCAAATTTATATACAGAGTGTCTGTTAAGTTAGGTTCATGAATTAATGCTAAACGTTTATCGTCCATGACATTTTATCTGCTCTCGAATGTGTACAATTTTATTAAATGCGATTTCGTATTTGAGTCAATCTACATATAATCTTATATAATATAAGATTAGCTTTTCCTCGATATTCTAAAAATTTTTTGAATACATTTTCTTCTTTCGGGCGATACGTTTTCAAGCATAATGTAATCTAATCCTCGCGTAATCCTTAAGCAAATTTGTATAAATATCAGTATTATTGTAGCGGAAACAAATTTGTATAAATATCAGTATCATTGTAGCAAAACGCCATTCATCGATCGTTTCTCGAATATTCTGCTTTGCTACTGGATTTGCTCATTCACTACTGTCGAATGCTGACGATTAAAGCTTTTACGGACCTCCACGGTTTAAATTCGCATAAAGTATTCTAAATTGGAACTACGCGAGTATAATCTGATGAATTTATGCATCAGTAATTTTTATTCGTTCGAAATAAACACCGGTTTTCCAAGCGTAACGTGGAATCCGAAATTTCGATTGTTGTATAATAGCTTGCGACACCTCGTAATCTGATTGCAGCGAACGCGATAATCCATTGATCAATTCATTATCGTTTGTTAATAATCCTAATGCTAAGTGCGTTTCAACGTCCTCATCATGACGAGCTAAATGCTCCGTTAGAAAATTAACAGCCGTTAGCATCGTTTTCGGATGTCATAATTAACATAATTAATGCATGTAGATTATATCCGCAAAAATTAGTGGTGTTGGCCACTAGCGATAAAAACACGAGATTTTTATTTGATAATTTAGTCACCATGTCTCTTAGCTTTTCAATGCGAATTAAATTAATTGGTTGCGCAATACTTTAATAAACTTTTAAAAACTCGTAAACTTACTTTAAAATTCCGCTTGCACTTTATCTTAAATTCCGACGAAAGTTCGTAACTTATACATACGTTGCGTGTAATTTATTTAACTGTTTCTTCTCCATTGCACATTTTACACTGCAAATCATTATATTCCGCTACTAAAGGTTAACGACAATTACGTAATCATCATTAGCCACGTACATATCTACATGTAAATAATTGCACACGAGTTTTCATGTTCGAAACGTGAGTTCGGTTTAACTCACCTGTCCAATTACGACTTGATAATGCCATCGATAACTTTGTCAACAAACAACATCAAACATCCACACATTAGGTCTAATAATATGTGCACTCGCGTAATATCAGCCACCGTGACTGGTGCATCTACCGAATCGGCCATGTATTATTTTTAATTCGGCGTTGAATTGGCATTTAGCATGCACTTTGAAAGAGGTTACACGCCACGATCCTTCTGAACAAAAATGTGCCCGCGAAGACCGCGATATCACGTTATTTTCGTTCTCCCTTTGAGCATAACGTGTCATTGCTTTTCCCACTATCCAATGTAAATTTATGTTGAAAGTGCTATACACGAATATAACCTGCGACTCCTGAAATACCAGTTAAATCTAGTTAAATTTGATTGTCTGAACTACAAATTAGATCAAACATACGTGCAATTGCGAAATATCCGCATGTGTGATGAATTTCATAATAATAAATTTATTAATAAATTAATCGCTTTCGATTATAATCATTCTAAAATCGACGTTTCAACAAAAATCTGTGCGCAATTAATTTTCGGATTTCCATTTTTAATTTTCGATGTGTTAAGAGATTGAATGTAATTGAATCTTAAATTCATTTCTGTTAAAGAAAAGTAAAATTAATTAGAAAGAAAAATGAAATTAACTGGAGAAAATAAAATCTTTCTTGTCTGTTTAAATCTTTTAAGACTGTTAAAGCACGGAGGTGCTTTAAGTTTTGATGTCAACTTAATAATGAAGCCTTGAACACTCTCCATAGAACAGAAAGATTTAGTTTCCTTAAAGAATCTTAGAAGAAAGTACGCGATTCCTGAAACACTTCGTAGAATAGATGATGTTCGATATTACATCAAGTAAATTTGTTCTTATGAGGCGATATAAATTTAATTGACTTTCAGGTACAACGTTATCTTCATGATATTGACATACTTTTTACCAATCGGATCCATGACGTTTACTTATGCCAGGGTCGGCCTGGAATTGTGGGGCTCGCAAAGCATCGGGGAAGCCACAGCCAGACAACTCGAAAACATTCGGAGCAAACGGAGGGTATGTATAAAATGAATTAATATCCGTGCATAGTTTAGACGCTGAAATTGCTTTCGTTCCACGATCGAAAGATGATTTAAAACGAAAAGGCGCATATGCGACGTGAAAGTGCTTATGCGATTACGCGATTAAGTTCTTGTCTCTCCCTCTCATTTTGGTATTTTTTTCCAATGTCAACAATAGATAATATTTGATCAGAAAGGGAATATAAATAAATAAAATCGTTGCTTTTGAATATTTCATGAACGAAGAAACGGATATTAATGAACTTCATAAACTCATGTTGGAAATTGTTACACTTCTTGTGTTTGATGACGTTTAAGTAATTAAAGTACAGTGTCGTGTCAGTACTTGTAACGTATTTACACGAAGTGATGCAACTGATTGTGAGTAATCTCGCGCACGTTCTTTATCTTACTCTCTCACCCGGTCAAAACCGATATACGAACTATTTCAATTAATTAAGTTTAGATGGAACTTTAGACAATTTCAGTTCACGTTCTAGTCTTTTGTTCGTTGTGCATGTCGCAGCATGCCGAGAAAGGAATAAATATCGCCTCACTTCCTTTATAAGATGCTAAATAAATCATAAATATTTCATATTTACAAAAGAAATTCTGTAATTATTACAACAGTATTGCATCTTACGTCTAATTATCTCATCAATCAATGCAATATCAATTCAATATCCGTTGAATATCCATTGAAAATAGCGTTACACGTTTATTGGTACATGGCACAGCAAGAAACTACTGATAGCGATCGTATAATGCATTTCATAGTTATTCTCCTCTATATTTTCAAAATTTTTAATAAAAGATTATTGATATTGATTTTTGCGTGAATGTCCTCTCTTAAATGTGGTTCAGGATCATATCTTAGATAATATTTGTTAATTTGTCTATTTTTTTTTCAAAAAAATAGAAAAACAATTTTTTTATTAATTTATTTTTACACCATTAAATTTAGCATTAAAAATAACATAAAAGTACATATTTTCAAAATTTTTAATGAAAGATTATTGGTAGTTGATTTTTGCGTAAATGCCATGCCTTAATGCAATTATTACTATAGAATATTATAAATTATATTTGTTTTCGAAGAAGAGACATATAGCGTCTGCGATCTATGAGTATTAAGAAAAGGTTGAGTGTTAATAATTATGGCAAATGACGTAAATCTATATGACCAATTGCAAATGTGAACAATGCTACATAATCGACTAATACATGCACATCAAATTCAGAAATCCAGGGAATACGCATGTAAACGGCATTAAGATTCACATAAAACGATAATATTCAGCAGCCTGATGATATTGGCTTTATCTAACCCTCGTAAACTCGACTTATCGGCTCCGTTTTAGTAGCTGCGGGGAGTCCAACGATTTCCTTCCCTTATGAATAACATCAGTGATTCTCCAATAATATCCATAGCAACGAGAACCGCGTTACATGCAAAAAATCCAAAATATGTCTTTGGCTTTTCTTATCATAATAAATCATTATGGTAATTTTTACTGCCTATATGATGAATAAATGCGCAGATCGCAAAGACCTTTTATAGCTAAAAACAAGTAGCCACTTTACTGTGCTGGTAGAAAAATTATACAATAGACATACAGAATATGTTCAGATAAGATACACAATTTTTTGGATGCAGACTGATTATGAAAGTAGAAATTTCGTTCTAATAGTAAGGACAATAAAAATTAATTTCAAACATCATACATTTTTCGTAAACATCTACAAGCGTTTTAAAAAGTTGTATCTCAATGTTACTAATAATTTTTTTCTGTTCCTTTCGTCCAATTTTCTTCACTGCGTGCGAAATGAAAAAAATGTGATTACAACGCGATGACGCTTCATTCGATGGTATGAAAGCGTTCACTGAAAAATGCCTTCCCAATTAGTCTTAAACGCAATGTGCAATGACTGTTCGTCAGGTTAACGACGAAGCAAAGATCGCAAGTGTACGTGAGATATTCCGAGTCATTATCCTGCTACCACGAATATCTCAGAGAAGACAGCTCAAATCTAAAGTCTGGCCATAATTCGTAATTAGACGAGTCTCGGTCTGCATCTTCATGGACTTCTATTTCCGACACTTAGACGTTAACTCTTCCAACTTTCGGTCAATAAAGTTTGAGGGAAAAGTTCCATTTATCCTCTACAGTAACACGCTAGGGTGCTTAGTTGATTTTTGGCCGCAGAAAGAGAGAAAAAGAGAAAAAGGGAAGAGAAGCGGCCCCAGGGGATGATTCCTTTGTTTCAGAGAAAAATATATATGTATTTTGACATGTTAGTGATACATGCCGGATATCGATTGGCTACAAAAGCGTTTATTGCCTACAATCGTTTGTGCGTTCCGAACGGAGTGAAAAATGATTAGGTATAAGTTTCTATTTTTCAGCCAACGCTGCTGCCTCTATTTTATTCTTGCAAATATTGCAGCTGCAACTTTTTAAATAAGATACAATAAATTATATGAAATAGTGATAAATGTAATAAATATTTTTTAATATTTAAATTATGTACGATAATATATATATATATATATACACGCGCGTGATTTAACCGCACATAATTAATGTTGAGATACTATCTAATCGAGTAGAGTGATTGCGGAGAAGAGAATAAATGGAATGTAATTATCGGATATAAAAATGGTCGTCCTAAATGGACGTAATGAATTCGCAACGAAGCGATCTATACGAGTGCAAGAAGAATAATTGCATATTTTCTCAAATATTTATATCTGTAAAAGAGACTAAATTCTTAATTCGTCTCTGCTAATTACGCACAGCTGTGTGTATAAATTACAAATGCGTGATATATATATTCCTAATGCATTTCTCGTTGAAATCTTCTTAATAGAAACGTGTACAACTTAAAAACATTTGATACTGATTCAAAAAATTATTAAATTATAATTATTGATCAATTATCAAACTGAAATTTATATAGTTATACTCTTTTTTTATACTTTTCAAAGAAATGTTTAGCAATGGAAGTTACGTTGGCATACTGACTTTCCTGAAATTTACGTCTATACAAAAACGTAATTATAGTAATTAATCATCATACAACCTCACCTTTTAAATACTCAAAGACGCTAAAGTGTAATAAAAATAATAAAATTACAAAATTCAGTAAAAAAAAAAGTAAAGCCACGACTTAACCTATCATTTGAATTTTAATTGCTCAACTTTCTACTTTTAAAAAAATCTAATTTTTTATTAAAAATTACTTATTTTGAATACTAAAAGCACTAAATAACAGTGTTTATATAATTCAAAATAAATAATTAATCACTACTTTCCAATATTAAATTTCTTTAGGCGTTAATTTTAGTTTATGATTTAGATTCCGATATTCTAAGTCTTGTTTGCTCATAGTATAGGAATAAAGTAATAACTCTTAATTCTATTCATTATTTAAAAGTATTACTTTAATATATAAAATTTATATTTGAAAGTATTATTATATAAAATAATCTCAAAATATAGGAAGCAAGAATTTCATGTTACAATGCATAATTTGATCAAAATATTAAATACATAATCATAAAACACTTCTCAATATTCCGTTAATTAATAAAGGAAAGAGATAATGTGTCAACATTTAATTAAAAGATACGCGGAGGATTGTAACAGTGTATTAGTAGAATCTAGCGGGCCTCCTCGGTATATTCGAATGAAGATGCATTGGATTTCGATTAGGTGACAAAAGACGTTTGCTCCATTTCATAACATCGCATACGCATCGATCAATTTTCCGACCGCCAACATATGCCCATGTGTTATATGTCCATTACAGAGTCTACTAAAACTCGTATTTGTACACAGATAATAATTACAGGTAATGTACACAGGTAATAATTGGACAAATGGCCCGTAGGCAGACTGTCGCAGACTTTTGCATAACACATAACACACAATGCATAAGAGAATCAATCAGAATATTTCCTTTCCTTCCATTTTACGGAAAAGAGAAATTTTAATTGGTTGATATTTTTATGCACTGTGCATTGTGCGTTATGCAAAAGTTTGTGCTACGACTTTTATTGACATTGCAATTACTGCGATGAAAATGTTATGGCTTCAGTTGACGCGCACATAATTTCCATGATCTATGCCATTCTGTGAAAAGATATTCTCAATATCTTTCCTTTTTGCATCTTCAGAAAATTTCTCGTTAGGTTTCATTAAAATTTATTCAAAAGTAGAAAGTGCTTTGCTCAGTGCTATTCGGTTTACAAATTACACAAACGCTCTCCGCGTTAGATTTACATACGAATGGAGCAAAGCCAAAGCCGTCAAACGCAAACCTTCAGTTCATTATACGGCTGTTATATTTTCCTCGCGTTTCTCAGTAACTATAGACGCGCTCTTCAAAATTTAAAAAGCTATTTATGATGCGAAATTTTAAATGCACACAAAGTGCGGTGCGCGTGAAACATAAACCCGTAGAGTACTTAAACTCCTCGGAGCGTCGCTCTTGAACTTAAAGCGTAAATACATTTAGAATACATTTACGTACACCTGCAACTCTTGCAATAACCTTTGCAAAGTTACATTTTGTTACACGTGTCTATACAAGCGGTTAATTTAATCCTAATTGTTATATGAATTTTGTCTAAAAAATGCATTAAATGAAATGCTCAAAATAAAGTCTCATATCTTATATAAGACAAGACCGTTCAATAGTTACATTTTCGTTAAATCAGTTAAAGATACTAAATTGAACATAAAAAGTTAACGATTACACTCGTGAAACCTGACATTATTAAAATATCTATTGCACGAATACGTTGTAGAATATTTCGCGATATTGTATATATAATGAGATAATTGGAGCTTGTAATACTATAAATGTATTGCTTTAAATGATATAAAGTCAAAACGATGAATATATTATAGATAAGCTATAAAAAATTAAAACATAAAACTGCTTTATTTATTTAAAAATAAAATAAAATTAGTAATTTGCTATTATTCT